CAGCTCCATGCCCCAACCCTGCACGATGCTGAGCCCCATAGAGTCAGTGGGAGTTAAGGGTGCTCGGCCCTTTGCAGGAGGCACTCTGCACCACTCAGTACCAGCTGCCAAATGAAGAATCTAGTTTTTCTATCAGCAATGCATGGGCGATTCTGTCTTTTCATGGAGAGTAAAGTCCCTGTTAGATCAAACACCCAAAGTTAAACTCAGTCCCAGACATGTCTGCAGAGAAGAAGTATCAATATGTAACAATGTTAAACAACTCACAAGTTATGCCGCAAGTTATGCAAAATAAACTGTCCTAAGGCCAGACTGCAATTTGGGCTACATGCTTGTCGGGGAGAAGGAATAAGAAACCCACCACCACCACACACACACATTTATGTAGGCTACCTGGAACTTGGGTCCAGGTGCATAGAAGTAAGCAAGGTTACATGCCTGCTTATTTCCTCCTCTGAGTATGTAAGCAGGGATTGGACAGAGCCTTGGCTACACTCCCTACTTGCTGGCCAGAGTAGTTGAGCCAACAGGATAGTACATTAGGGCTAGGTCCACAAAAGAATGTAGGCACCCTGCTTGGCTGCCACCTAACCTTGCAGGCACCTGAACTCACTAAGCATCTACATTTCTGCTGTAAAAGACCCTAAGGCCCTTAAGTTTCTGCCTCTGGGCAGGTTCACTGATGCTTCACTCTAAGGTTCTGTCTACACAGTATTTGGGAGCCCGAGGAACAAGCCTCCCAGCCCGGATCAAGAGGCTTATGCTCTAGTTGTGTAGACAGTACTTTGGAGCTGTGGCTTGGGCTGGAGCTCAGGCTCTGAAGCCTGTGGGGAGTCTTCAGAAGAGCCCAAACTGCAACTTCAAAGCGCTGTCTACACAGCTATTTTTAGAGCCCGAGCATGAGTCGGTCAACCTGGGCTGGGAGGCTCACTCCCCCGGGCTCCCAAATGCTATGTAGATGTACCCTAAAAGTTCAGATGTCTGTCTCGTACCTAAGCCCCAGGCCAATCCACAAAGTGGGGAAAGCGAAGCAGGCACCTCCAACGCACAGGAAAAACAACCACTGGCCACCCCTCCCACCAGCAAAAAGGATCCTAGTGACAACTATTGCTAAGTATTACTAAAATTAGTGAGAGAACCATTTCCCCCTTCTCCTCCCCCCATCCCATTTTTATGTTATTTTATCATTTTTCTTACCTTATCATAACACAGTGCCACAGTCCACATGTCAGGCATGTGAACTGTGAGCACTTTAGTGTGTCTCAAGTGAAAAATACCCTGGCATAGTAAATCTACAAAAACTGGCCAAGTGGCAACCCTAGAGAAGCACCTGTCTCATCCATGGGGCCCAATGCAGTAGATGTGCTCAGAGTATGCCTAATGCCACACACAATAGCAGGGTCACAAGGAGGAGGCAGCCTCTTTCATAACCTTTAGCCCAGGGTACTCCACAAGGATGTGGGGAAACCCTGGTTCAATTTCCCCCTCTACCTGATGAAGAGACGGGATTTGAACAATGGTTCTCCGAGAACTCTCGGATGAGTGTTCTAACCACTAGACTATGGGATGTTTCCTATTTAAACTGTTTCACTTTAATTAATACCCGATAATTAAATATCAATCGGATCAGAGTAAGAATCACACTGTAGCCCAATGGTTAGGACACTCACCTAAGAGATGGCAGATACCTCTTCAGATCCTTTCTCCTCAATGGGCAGAGGAGGGAACTTAACGGGGGTGAGTATCCTAACTGCTGGGCTAAAGATTAAGGGAGGAGGCTGCTCTCTTCCCCCACTCCAAAACTATTTTGTATGGAGTTAGGCAGGCAACTAACTCTCTCTTGCAAGCAATTACTTAGATGGCTAAGCTGCCAGATTCCCAGTCGTGGATCGCAAACAGAGATAGGACCCTCCCTCAAGCCTAGATTTAGGCAACTAACTCTATGGTGGGGGGGGGGAGATTTAGGACACACCTGTCTCATTAGCAAGCATCTCCAACTGGCTATTTTAGGCTATGTCTACACTTAAAATGCTACAGTGTAGACACTCACTACAGCAATGGGAGAGGTTCTTCCATCACTGTAGTTAATCCACCTCCCCAAGAGATGATAGCAAAGTTGACAGAAAAATTCTGTCTACACCAGGTGCTAGGCTGGCTTAACTACATCATTCAGTGGTGTGGATTTTTCACACTTCTGAGTAACATAGCTGGCTTGACCTAACTTTTCAATTTAGACCAGCCCTTAAGCTCTACCTAGCATGCTGGCTCTTATGTATCCATTCTTAGGCTCCTGTCTCCATAGGCACTGACTTCTACCCCCCCGTTCCCCAAGCCCCCACCTCACCTCTTCCTGCCCCTGCTCTGCCCCCACCTCCACTCCCACTCCACCTCTTTCCGCCCCCTCCCCTGAGTGCGCCCCAGTCCTGCTCCTCCCTCTCCCGCCCAAAGCCAACCTATTCGCAGCAGGCGGGACGCACCGGGGGAGAGGGAGAGGAGTGATCAGCAGGGCCGCCGGTGGGGGAGAGGCGCTGGGGGGGAAGGAGGAGGTGAGCGGGGAGCTTGCCTGCTGGTGGGTGCTAAGCACCTGCTAATTTTTCAGCACCCACGGAGTCAGCGCCTATGCCTGTCTCTCCCCAAGCATTGTATACCAAGCCTAGGCACCTAACTCAGGCTTTGTGGATCCCACTATTGCTCCAGTACTTTTTTTAGACATCTAAAAGTTAGACATTACAATCTGAGCACTGCAACACCTAAGTCCCTTTTATAGAACAATGTCTTAGTGCTAGCTTAAGGAGCAAGAATCATAGAAGTGCAGGATTGGAAAGGACCTCGAGAGGTCATCTAGTTCAGTTCCCTGCATTCAAGGCAGGACTATGTAATAACTAGACCATTCCTAACAGGTGTTTATCTAACCTGTTCTTAAAAACCTCTAAAAGAAGGAAGCAAATATGTCTCATAAGGGTGTCAAAATGCCTTCTGGGGCAGTGCAGTTCAGTTCATGCAGCCCTTTGCTCAGGCCTGAAGACAAAGTCACAGTCCAAAACCCTTAAAGGTATTTATTTAGTGCCTAACTCCCTAAACTTTGAGGATCAGGGGACCAAATCCTTCCTGTTAAATACATATACATGCTCTCCAGCAAGGTTCAAAACATACGGAATGGGCATTTATGACTTGGTTGACGTCAGTGAGAGTTGTGAGTGCTCAGCATCTCTGAGGATCAGGCCCTTAATTCAATGTCAAAGTGTTGAAACCTATGCACAGGAAGAACAAAACTCTGCTGGGTGAGTTCAAACAATGGAATTAGGAGCCTGGACTAGTTCAAAGAAAGAGTTACATAATGGGACTACAGCTATTACATTACTGAACTCTGCAGCTATAACTAGAGGTTATGAAATCACTGTGTGTTTTGCAAGTTATGTAGTCTGACAGGGCTCTTCGGGTAACAGCCAGACAGACGGCTGAAGACAACAGTAAATGCAGAAGCAAACTTTTTGGAGCAAAGGGTCGGTTTCAATGTCTTTCCCATTTTGGAAAAAAGTTTCGAAATTGTCAGTGTCCCATTTTGACATTTTTCAGTTTGAAACAACATTATGTTTAGAAATTTAAGTTTACCATAAAAACAAACCAAAATGTTTCATTTCAGCAGATCCAATTCTCCCTCCCCACCCCAACCCCCTTTCAGATTTATGGTTTATGAACAATTGAGATGTTTGACTTTGCTCCCATTTGGACTAGCAAAGTTTTTGAAACTTCAAGAATCCATATAGGTAGGGTTGCCAATTTTGGTTAGCCCTCTTCCTGGAGGTTTCATCACATCACATAATCTTTAATTAAAAAATAAGCTTTAATTCCTGCAGACGCCAGAACAATCCTGGAAAGTTGGCAACCGAGAGGAAAGTCATTTCCTGCCCAGCGCTAGTGGGATCACAGCCCAGCCCAGCCCATCGCCACGCTCGCATTGCTGGGTAAGGGGGTTGGAGCAGACAATCGCCCTCTCCTGCTGGAGGCATCTCTGCACCAAACCCTCCCTGGGGCTGGAGCTTTAATCCACAGCCGGGCTCAGAGCTCAGCCCGCACACAAACGCTTAATGACAGGGGCTGCCTGCGCCCCTCGCTAGGCAGTGTTGCCTCAGCAATTTCTCCCTTGCGCAATCAGTAAACACCGCCTGCGCGACAGCCAGGGGAGCAGGCACTGGCCAGCGCTTCCCCCAGGGACTCGGGGCCCTGCCTCCCCTCAGAGAGGGCCCGGGGGACGCTGACTCCCGCCCTGCTCTCCTGGCCCCTTTCCTGCCCACTGCTCTCCCACCACACGTGCCCTCACGCAGCGAGCGACACAAACATCATGTGTTGCGCCTCCCAGCGCCCATCACCTACCCGCGCCGCGCTCCTGCCCTCGGGCCCCCTCTGTTCTTAGGGAGCCCCCCGGGAGCCACTAACTCCCGACTGGCCCCACACGTTACAGCTGCAGAAAATCCAGAGCCAGCCCCGTAAACACGCGGCGTAACCACCTGCAGCTCCCCGGGAGTAGAGCCGCTCCCTGGCAGTTTCTGAGCACTGACCTCGGACTCCCGCCTCACTCCTCCTTAGACACAGACAGTAACAGTGTGGCTGCCTTCAGCCTGTGACCGGCCGGCTCCACCTCCCGAGGGGAGTCTTCTCTCGGACCCTATGAGGAGAAGAGGCTCCCACCCAGTCCCACTGGAGATCAGTTTACTCTGGCTCCTCTCCCAAATCTCTCTCCCCTAGCAGTGCAAAGGGGAGGGAGGCTGTGTTTTGTTCCAAGCGATTTATTTGTTAACAAACAAAAAAAAATGAATATGATGTTTCTCATGCTGCTGGACTCTGACTCCAGGCCTTGCTTGGTTTGAGTGATACTGAGGCTTTGCTCCAAACTGTTAATTAGACAAATGCAGAGAGAAATGCTCCTGGATTCTGAGTGTTGGGGTTACTAGGCTTGCCTGAGCCAGAGTTCTTCCATGTTTAAACTCTGTCCTTCCATGTTTAACTCTAATCGACCTCAAAAGACAAGGACAGGAATTGGAATGTGTAAACAGCCAGTTAGCAATTACGACCTTGCTCATACCAGGTACCAAACAATAATGATGAGGTTTGCATGTTTCTAGCTGGAGAAGGGGTAATAAACTAAGGGTAAGCAGAACCAAATAACAGTTTAGGGAGAAGTTACTAACAAGCTAGATTTATAGCCCTAGAATGATTTAATTGCTTAAATGTATAAACATGCCTTCGGTAGAGAGGGGAGGGGGAGTAGAGGGGGGGTGGTAGGAGAGGGGGAGAGAGGGGGGGCTTAGTTGTAAAATGTATAAAGAAGAGAGAAACTGTTTTTGCTGGTGTGCTTGATTTGAGACTTGCCTGTCTCCTTGCACCACTTTGAGATCTCAAATATACTTTGATTGTTTCTCCACTCCGGTATATTTATTGACGCGAAGTACTCCGGGCAACGAACCCCACTGTTGCTGTCCTCGGGCCCCTGTGCCGGCAACATGAGGAACAGGCAGATCAAACATACTGGTGGCTTGGCTTATATTCTGTCATTGTCAGGTTCAGTTTCCCAACACAGTTCTGTATTATGGTTAATGCTGTTTGGTCCTGTCTACCCAAGCAAGGCTGCCGGTGCCTGGTGTCTTGTGATAATCAAGGAATCCATTTTATAACAGTCTCTATGGCACACACACAGTCAATCTGGGGCTAAAAGCCACCCTTCAATGTGCGAGGCCAACATGATAACATCACTATATAAGCTGTCTGTATGTGTATATGTAGGGCAAGGTATACAGAATCTGGGTTCAGTTCTGGACATTAAAACCAGAATCCTAAACTCATCAGAGAGCCCATACACAAGGTGAAAACCCCTCAGTTTAACCTCCAGTGCTAATCATGCTGCTTCCTTCCTCCTATACCAGACACCTCAACTGCTCTACAATCTGTGCTGTTTTATCTGGAGCTGCTTTTGACATTTTTTCACCTTCCTGCCTCTGTCCCCCTCTCTTACTCCCTGTTAAGCTCTGCATGGTCACCCATGTCCCTCAGTCTGCCTACCAAGCCTATCTAGGTTTTCATACTGTATTCATCTGGGCTGGTGGGTGCTCTGTATGGGATGGAGGCCTGAGTGCTGGTGCAGCAGGAGGAAAGCTAGGAGCTGCAGTGGGGTATTGGAGCTGGACACTTAGGAGCAGCTCTTCAACAAATGCTGAAATGAGATGGCCCAATGGCTGTTGCTACAGGAGCCTGCTGCTCCCCAGGCAGAGTCAGGGTGGGGAGCTTTTGTATTATTCTTCAGAGGGGTGCTGTCTGATAACAATACCTAGAACCCATTTCCAAATTAAAGTCATGGGCAGCTAAGGGGGAATCATATCACTCGGAGGAGTGGATTAATGACCCCCACCATTTTACTTTTGCTGTAGTTACAAATGGTAACAGAGGTGGGTTCCTTCAATGATCCAGAGAGCCCTCTGCATGATTTCAGGAGCTGCTGGATAAGCAGAGCAGCAGCTCTGTTGTAGAAGAACTCATTCCATTGCTCTGCCAGAGAGCTAACAAGGGCACAGCTCCTTGCTCAATCTTCAGTCTTCTTCATCAATTCAGGCAGAGATTTCCAACACAAGCTTTTGACAAACAAACAATAGTTACACTGCATTATTAGGCACCTTACAAATGCCACAGTAAGAGGGATGTGAAATTAGTTGTCACTATTGATTAGAAACTTTTGGCAGGTATGTGAATTCTGGTTAATACACACTCGCTGCTGCAGAATTCCTTTGATCCTCCTTTCTTTATGTTGGAAGTCAGCTAGTTTCTAAAATGGGAAATGCCATGCAGGACCACCCTCTATAAATATTAAAATCTGACAATAACTCTCTAATGATTGTCAATGGGATTTTTATTGCCCTGAACTTGTTCTGCTTCAAATCTATGGTACTAGTTCTTCATTAAATGACTTTGAAAGAGGATTAGGTATTGCAGATAGTCACTGTTCGTATCAAATACATTTATTTATTGAATTGTCTTGCTAGTATTTCTGTATTATAGCTTGTTTCACATTACTTCATTTTTGAACTGTACAAAGGCATCCATTACTTACCGAACATCAATATGAGCCAGCAGAAGAGTGCTACATCTCTGGGCAGAGTCCTAGCACCTGACACCCAATCAAGCACCTCTTTTCTCAAACAGAAACTTAAGGTTAGAACTACTGAACTTGCAACAATAAAAGCACATTAGCTGCTTAAAACGTGCATATATATATAACGTACTGAAGTCGAAGTACCATATATATATATGAGAGTGTTGCAGCAGCAGAACCAGCAATGAAAAGAGGCTCACTTTAAAAAGATAGCATTTGGGACACATCAATAAACCAATAACTGCAGAGGGAAAGGTAGTTAAAAACAACTACTAGCCTGAACCATGACCCCAGACCTGAATACACTTGAACATCAGGAAGGTTGATTCTTTATCCAAATGTGTCTCATGCCCATTTGGCCAAGGACTACCTGTTCTGCCTGTTTTCTCTGGAATTATAATGTGCTCTGCCTTGCAATTAGGGTGTTCTAGGACTTCCCTGAACTGCATCGTGCTACCTAGATGGCTCATGAGAACACGGTACGCTACCAGAAAGAGACAGCCGTAGGGAGCCCTGATCGATATAATCAAAGCCCCGCAGTCATAAAATAAATTGCACTCAGACAACAAGAGGAATGAGATGTTTTATTTCATTTTATTCTCTTAAAGCTAGTGGTTTAATGCCACCCCTTTTGCTCTGCGCAGCCTATAATTCAGTGAACCATTTCATGTGCTAGCGCAGTTATTTGGATTTACTGTGGACATTTTTGCATACATAATTTCTAGCTTGTATTAACTGATTCTGTCACTATAATTTTCACACTTTGAATTGACTTCACTTTGCAGTTTTACAGCTAATACACAAAACAGCTGCCATGTAGTAAAACAGCTGCCATGATTTTAAGCCATCATTCATTGCCAATGTTGAAAATGCTCATCACTTTTGGAATTGATTTTTCATCTAGCGGTGGTTTCCTCTGGCTGCCAGGCTGCAGGAATTTCTTAATTGTGGGGATGTTACTTATCCTTGCTTTAAAAGCCTGAAATGAGAAACAGTACAACATTTAACAGCAAAGAAATAACAGAGCAAAAGATACTTGGATTGGACATATGTTAATCATGTTTTAAAAAGAGATCCGCTAGCCTGACCCTGCAATGAATTGTAAGTGAGCTGTGCAACAAAGCCCCATTGACTACAGGGAGGCTCTGTGCAGGTGCAGGGCACTGTCCACCTGGGACTTATTATAGGATCATGACCTCAGAGCTGGTTGAAATTTTCTTAAGAACTTATTCCTGAAAATTTGGCTTTTGACAGCAACTACAATTGTCCTGGAAATATTTCATTGTCATCTAATATTCTGTGACACTGAGCCAGAAAGGGTTAAGCAACTAGCAGGCTACATGACCCAAATTCAGCCTTTAGAGACATATTAGAAAAGTATGTGAATGGTAATGTTAGATTGACTAGAGCTTTGAAATGCAAACCTGTATTGTTAGGCCTGGTCCACACTAACCCCCCACTTCGAACTAAGATACGCAACTTCAGCTACGTGAATAATGTACTGAAGTCGAAGTACCTTAGTTCGAACTTACCGCGGGTCCAGATGCGGCAGGCAGGCTCCCCTGTTGACTCCGCGTACTCCTCTCGCGGAGCAGGAGTACCGGCGTCGACGGCGAGTACTTCCGGGATCCATCCGGGATCGATTTATCGCATCTAGACAAGACGCGATAAATCGATCCCAGAAGATCAATTGCTTACCGCCGGACCCAGAGGTAAGTATAGACCTACCCTTAGAGAATTAGAGGTAATACTAATTGTATGTGTTTACTTATATCTTGTTAGATGCTAACCATATAAAAAGACGGTTCCTGTCTGTTACTATATTCTATTGATTCAGAGGTCAAAAAGGTAATGGAACTTGGATGTAATAATATTGTCTATATTTCTCTTTGAAGTTTGTAGAAAACTGTCTATGAACTGGTTAATGGATAATTACCTTATGCTGATGAATGCAACTAGTTACCTGTGTATACACAGGAAATTGGAGGTTTTACTTCAACGCCACAATGCTTCACCCAAGGAATGCCTGCTATCAAGAGGCTGCCAGAGAACTATAAAAAGAACTCTAGGGCCCTGATCCTGTATCTGAGCTCTACTTAAGTTTAATCAGGGGAAATTTGAGTCGCAAGACTGAGGTCTTCAGCTCCAGTCTGTATTACCCTGATATTGACTGTAACCTATGGAACTAATTCTGAAAGAACTATTTGCGTCTCTAAAGCTCACCATCTCTACTATGAACTGACCTAAAAACTCTAGTCATATCTCTATGTATAATGACCTTTTAACCTATAGTCTTTCTCTTTTCTAATAAATCTTAGCTTAGTTAATAAGAATTGGCTATAAGCACGTATTTGGATAAGATCTGGAATAGTCATTGACCTGGTGGGTAATGTGTCCACTCCTTTGGGATTGGTAGAACTTTATGATGAACAAGATTTTATGTAATCCTCATCATATTTGACTTCGCTGTCTGGGTGGGAGCCCAAGGCTGGGTTGCTTTAAGAGAACTGGGTTTTGGCTTCTGGGACCAGTAAGATATTGTAGAAGCTGTTTTGTTGCTGGCTTGGTGAATCAAAGTATTAGAATAAACCACCAGTTTGGGGGATCGTCTGCCCCATTCTTTGCAGTTTGCCCTGATTGAGCAGTCTCAGCATGGCCCCCCTGGGGGACACCAATCACAGTTTCATTTTGACATTGTGAAGAAAACCCTACTTTTGCTTTCTTATTGTAACTTTTTTCCCCACTCTGGAAAAAGGATGGAGAAACGATTCTCTCCTCCCTCCTACCCCAACATACACTAACTTTTTTTCTCCACCATTTTCTAGTACCACTTTTTAAAAAAATAAGTGGGATTTTCCCTGACCAAAACCAATTTTGCTTAGAAACTTCTCATTGAACATATTTTCTTTTTTGAAGGAAATTCCTAACAGTTTTGCAAACATTTCCCAACCAGCTCCAGTGGCCCCAGATAGGTAAAGCCCAAAACTTAGATTTTTTTTTAACAAAACAAAGTGTTACAAATCCTAATATAAATGTTTTAATACATTTTAAAATCTAATTCAATCAATATTTTTGTTGACATTTAGACCCACCCTTGCTGTGTTTGCAACCCAAATATGGCAACTTTGCATGAGAGAGTGGAGGAAGCAGCTGCTGGAGCTGGCAAAGGAAAGCTGTGGAAGGAAATGCAGTGGAAATACTAGTGGAAACCTTGCAGTGGAAACCTTTAATCTGAGCTGTTCCTGAGCACCATGTTAGCACAATGTTGGTGCTGGAGGATTGAGAATACAAGGAAGCACACAGTAATTTGTAGGCCAGTAGGCACTCCTTGGGATGATCTAGCCCTGCAGGTATCTCAGGCCCATTTAAGGAACTCTATGAATACTGTCTGGTTCCTTCAAAGGAGAATTACCATATTTCTAGTTATCTGTTCTATTCTGATTCTAAGAGAACCAGGTGAGGGATGGTTATGATATTGAAATCCACCAAGTTCAGATCTGATTGCAAATCTAATTTTTCTCTCATGTTTGAGCAGATTCAAAACCAATGTTGCTCTTCTTTTCAGGTGAGGGCTTTGAAAGGTAGAGATGAATCCAAACTTCACAGCTTGGACCTAGATCCAATTTTTTCCAGAGCTCTCATAGGTTCAGATCTGCTGTTTTAGTTCAGGCTCATTTCTCATTGCAAGGCAAAGCACTACTTGGGCTCAATTCTGCTTTTGTTTACACTAATATAAATCAAGAGTAGCTCCACAGATGTTCATGTACCTACTCTGGTGTAAAGCTGAGGGCAGAATCAGGCGCTCTGTATCTTTATCTCAATGCTGTTTAAATCATCAAGCCAAATTCACCTCCATTGGCTTCAAGGATTAATCTGACCCCGTATTCTTATACTACATAACATGATTTGATCAGTAACAGTTTTTAATTTAGGCAATATCTGTAACACTTGTACATATTTAAGAGCCAAATCGTCAGCTAGTGTAAAGCAACATAGCTCCATTGACTTCAGTGAGGATCTGTCCCTACACATTTCATTGACTGTTAGAGCTGTTAATTCTTTTACCTGTAAGACAGGGAATTTGGAGAGTATATCAGGCTTGCACTCTTCTGCCATTAGAATGGTTTCAAGCAGCTGTACATCTGCCCTGCTGAATCGGTTGCCAACAAGAAAATCCTGTCCATGGACTTTCAAAGCCTATAGGACAGGAGACAATGAATTTATGGCTATAAATGAGACATTCTGTGCTCTGGATAAATACATAAAGCTAAGCCTAATCTGACATTTCAAAAGCACATCTAGGTCTGTGTAAGAGTTACCCTTGAAAGGAAGCAATACAAAATACAGCATTGTTTGAACAATTAGAAAACTCAATTTCACCATTGTGTTAGGCCTTATTCAAAATAATATAGCTTTGGGTGTGACAGGAAGGTTTGGTCCCTTTGATAGTAGGAGGTTTTTAAAATCTGTAGCTTTTATGATCACAGCTGAAATGGTTTGGGCATGGGGATTTACTAGTCCCGTTCTGTGGTCCTCCACCTCAATGCAAGAGTGACCAGGCTCAGAAACCATTTGAAATAAATAAGTGACCTTAAGCAATTCCAGCTAATAGTTTTAGTGCCAGTGCAGACAAAGCATAATCCTTTAAAAAAACCCACAAACATTTTATAGACCAGGTGGAAAGACACATTATTTTAATAGTTGTTGTTATTATAAATAATATTGTATAGTGTTCTATAGGTGTGTGCAGGTGCCAACTGAAAATTGATCTTAAAACGTTTGCACAAGGCAGTTTCCAAACACTATCAATGGTGCGGTGCAGACATGGCACATCTGATGAAGCCTCCTGATGCTCCGTGCAAAATTATAGTTATTCCAAATAGCTATAGGGGGTTCACAAGAAACTTGGAGAATCCCAAGCCACTACGACTTTCTCAGTTCAGTGAATAGTAGAATATATTGGACCCCTTCACCTATTCCTGCACATTGCGCACCCTTCTTTCCTTTCTCCTCAGTAAGGTGCGAGTTTGGTGTTGGAAGCTTTACATAGTTATCCAAAGCCAGGTCTGTTCTTGAAGCCCAACTAGCACTTAGCTCCCCACACTGGGTGTGCTACAAGCAGAACTATAATGTACTTTATGTAGCACATACATTGTACAGACGACACCATGTACCAAGAATACTTCAGGAAGACACCTAGCACAGAAGAGATGCTGATGCTACCTTGGCATCAAACATAAAGTCTCTCTTAAAGGGACTTACTAAAAGATGTCACTGGAAATTTGGAGTACAAAAATTATCCTGGCTCGTGTGCAGCATTTGCATTATGAGGCTAAGAAAATCCCATCAAGCAAGCTCATAAATTTATACTTGCCTTAACTAGTTTTCCCATGGGCACTCCAAATATATCTGTTCTCCTACAATACAGGCTGAATGTGCATTTACTAGCATAGATCCAGGCAGGGCCGGCTCTAGGATTTTTGCCGCCCAAAGCAAAAACAATTTTGGCTGCCCCCGCCTCCATTCTTTAATTACCCCAATCCCCAGCCCCACCTCAACTCCGCCCCTTCTCCAAATCCCCAGCCCTGCCTCCTCCCCGCAGGCTCTCAAGCCTAGGAGGGAGGGAGGGGGAGAAGCGGCGCCCGCGCCGCGGCCGCTCGGGATCTCCCCCCTCCCTCCCAGATTTGAGAGCCTGGGAGGGAGGGGGACGACTCCGAGTGGCCGCAGCACAGGCGCCACTTCTCCCCCTCCCTCCCAGGCTCTCAAGCCTGGGACGGAGGGGAAGCAGCGGCGCGCGAAACGGCTGCTCGGGATCTCCCCCTCCCTCCCAGGGTTGAGAGCCTGG